CACATCTCAACTTATACTACCATATTCATTCTTTAAAACTTTCGTTATATTGTTCATATGACATCCAGTTTTGAAATAAGTTAGTTTTGAAGAATGTTTTCAAGAAATTTAAACACCACACTTCTTCCAGTACGCTTGAGAAGTGTTGTTTCGCATCAAAATGTTGCGTAACTTACAAACTGACTATTGTTTCTGCATTGTAAATTGGACTATTTTCCGCACTGCAAATTGGACTATTTTCCGCACTGCAAATTGGACTATTTTCCGCACTGCAAATTGGACTATTTTCCCGCACCGCAGATTTTCTCAATTTCCTCCAAAGTAAGCATTGTGTTTCTAATTGAAGTACTGGGGATGGCAGCAAAACAAATGACAACGGAATGCATTGATGGTTTCACTTCTACTTAGTTTATTTCTAACTCTCAATTTTCTGTCTGTATCCTTCCTTCTTTGATTGTTGAAAAAATTAATGAAAATTAGTTAATTGAAAAGAAAGAATTAATGAAATGTAAATTAGTCAATTTATTTAGTATTGAGATGGTCTAGATGTTGTTCAGTTTGACCCTTTCATTTTTTTTTTTTTTAAACAAAAACTGATTAAGTGCTTTGTACGATTGCACCATATAGTTACAAGGCATTTAGCAAAGAGAAGAATTAATACTATTTATAAGACAACAAGCATTAATGATATTTCTGGTAGGACAGTTTTTCTATTATTCATTTTATTTGAAGTAATAGGCACGAAAAAATCGAAGCCAATAAAACATCGTCCAAGTCAAAATTACCAATTAATATATAAAAAACTTAAGAATTACATTGACAGGAAAAAATCACGATAATTACTTCAAAAAACTATAAATATAATTTTGTATACCTGAGATTTGTTAGCAGAAATGTAAAAGAAGTGTAATTTCCATATTCTATCGAAAATTGCTATTATCCCAATCGACTGGATAAAATGTGACAGAACAAAAATTCCTCGAAATGTCGGAACAAGCTACAAGATCCTTCTAAAGTACTATTGAATACGTGCTCAACAATGCAGAGAATGTTTTATTCATATAAACAAAAAATGAATAGTTTATGAGGGAAGAAACTTTCTTAATCCATTCAATAAACATGTAAAAATTTAATTGTTCTAAAATCATCCTACTTGAAATACGTTATAACAAATGTTGGATACATTGTCATTCAAGTTTCATTTCTCATTGCTTACTTTTTTCCTTTCGCAGTTTTCAACAGTGAATTAAATTACAGCTTTAATAGCCTTGATATCTAATAGAAAACATATTAGCTCATTCAATATATTTAATACATATTTACTAAGAGAAGAGAATGTTCTAGCAAATATGATAAGAAAACGAGTTAAATCAATCCTTAGTTTAATAAAAAAGTACATGAAAGGAGAAGGGAGAATCTGATGAAGTTATCAGCTATCATTTGTCATTCTTGACAGTGATAATAAGTGCTCTTTATAGTGTATAATATACAGTTGATAACAAGTTGAAGCGCAAAAAATTGATTAGTTAATTAATTTTTGAATGATTTCTGGAACACTCAATTTATTTCTCACATTCTCAACATTAGTTTACCTGAAATTAGAAAATCGATCGATCCATGTATCAATGCTAATGTTTATTCTTCTAAAAATGGACAAAAAATGTAAACATATTTTTCATTGAAAAATTTAGATCCACAGTCGCTTTTTCATGCTTATTTTAAAAAAGTTAAAACTGTTAACGAAATGAAAAGAGACGTTGTCCCTTTAATCTTTGTTTTAAATATAGATTATCTACTAGGACTAAATCTAAACTCCTTAAAACAATGTCCTCTCTCTATGCTTCCTAAAAAAGAAAAATATGTATGTAAAGTAAAGAGTTCAGTGAATATAAACACTTCCAAAGATATTGAATGTCAAAAATGAGATGAATGTCTTTGTCATACGTTATATTACAAGTCGCATCAAAAGCAAATTGGATAAAGGCTGACTAATCAATGAATATTGTTATAGCTTATTTCGTTTTTAAAGTTTTAGGCATTTTTCGCAAACATATTTTGAAATGTGATACAGAAATAATCCTTCTCTTAGAATATGACAATCATTTTCAATAATTTCATTCATACATTTTAGCTTTAATTAAGTTGACAGCAATTATAATTAATTAGATTTCAATCGAGAAGAAATAATCTGAATAAGTGGATAAGTAAAAAAGTTAACATAATGTCAAATATTTTTAGTGTATTCTACAAATTAATAAAGAAATGGGATATGGAATAAAGTATAGTAAATAGAGCGAAATAAGCTTTATGGAGAAAAACGGAAATAAATTACTCAAAGTACGCAGCCACATTTAAAAATTTTGCGATATCCAGAAAAACATCACGTTGTGCTGTTGAAAATCATGCGTAACGTGCGCTTGATGAGTTAAAACAATTTCACGTCAAATGGAATGTCGCTTGCAAGCATGTTTATACTACAATACCTACAGTATCTCTATTATTAATATTACCATTTTGATAATGCTATCATTCCACTGTGGAATATATCGCATGATACTGTTGTAATATATTTATCATTAATACTACCATATTGATAATGCGTTGTTCATTTTTGTTTTCAAAATATTTCCTTCTTTTCTTATTCTTTTCAAAATTTGCCAATAACACTTCAGAAAAAAAAAATGAAATTCAAAGGGATGATAATATGTCGTGATGATAGCGTAAAAAAGGATGGAAGTATCTTTCTCTTTCTTAAAACTGATTAGTCGATCATTTAATACAGCGCATACCATCCGATCTCACCGTAATCATATGCCGGATTTGTTTAAATAGCAATCACCGGTGGGAAACTTATCCCTTTACTTTTAAAACTACTGAGTTTCACTTAATCTCTGGTCAAGCGTCGCTTTTATTTAAGAGTATACCGTTCGAGCTAATCAAAGTGTTCCGATCCTTGGCTCATTTTACAACTTCCCGAAATCGGTCTCGTTGCGTTACTTCAATAATCTTAAATTGCTAACAGTCATACTACAGCAAGGTTCCAGATTCCACCCGACTCAACTTTGGAAGACTGTAATTGAACTGTCGCTGACATAAGCATTATCGCGGACAAACGCGAAATTCCATGATAAGGAAAGTATAAAGATTCCTAAGTGAAAATGTTGCGATGTACTAATTTTTGGTATCGAGTTGGATTGTAACTAAGATTTGAAAATAATCCAAATTCTTCTTTTCTGCATAGGTAAGCACCATCACTGTATAAGAATATATATGCGCTCATTGTTCACCAGTCTAAGCTAAGAGCGCTTTATCAGCATGTGCTAACAAAGGCGCTAATCCTTGTAATCACAAAACCAATCCTTGAAGGATATACATGTATATATAAATTTATAAATGTATATATATATATATATAATTTATGCATACTTTGGAAGTAGGTTATACCTTTGTCTTTTCGTCTTTGTTCGACTGCGTCAGAAGATGCCCGTTGGCCATGGTTAGCCAACCGGGTGGAGATGGAGATGAACTTTAATTAAACCACCTTTTCTAGGCCTTTCTCACTATGGAGCAAACAGTACTTCCCTAAAAAAGGCTGCTTGGTCGTTCAGGATGCTGCCGAATAAAACTACTACTTTCGAGGTCAATCTCAAACGACCACCTACATAGGTTTTGCAAGGTTGGATCTGCGGCTTCCATTGTATCTTATCACCTGTCCTTTTGTCACTCATAAAAATTTGGGTATACTCTTTGAGTCTGTGCAGCAAATTTTTTAGGTGAGGCACACGTGCGCGGAACTGGTCTTACCCTTTACTCCTAATGTTCATCTGCTTGGTGAGCTTAGATGGCGATAGCGAAGCCCTAGGACGTAGGCGTAGTTAGGGTAACCTTCTCTAAGATGGATGGCTTGCAGCGTTAAACGATCCCCATCTGCCCGGGTTTGGGATCATAATTGTTTCCCTCCTAGGATGGTTGCATAAAGACTAACGAGCCCATCCTACCCGTGAACTTTGTATAGCCCTTCAATTGAGACCCGTCTAGCTGAGAGACCCTACAGGTAGCAGTCACCATTACTAGCATAGCTCCCAACCAAAGAACACACAAGCTTCTCCTGCGCAATAAGGCAGTGTCTGTATATATATAAACATATATATGTAAATATATAGACGTACATCCTTCACACAACATGATCTTTCGTTCTTTCTTCCTTCCTTTTGTTCTCCTAGTGTCTTTGGAATTTATCTTGTGGAGAAATTTTTGGATTTAGCTTTACGCGTTAATTTGTGTTTTATAATTCTTAATGATTATGTGATGCCAATATCGTTTGTTTCATCCAGTGGTTCAATCATCCAAGTTCGAGGTAGAAGGGAATTTTGTAACTCAGGTGTCGTCTCGCTGCGCAAAATACTCCCAAGAAAATACAAAAATTTCTCACTTTATATATTTCATTCTGAACAAAATGTCAAATTGTTGTTACTAGAGGAAACTAAAAGATTTCCAATCTAATCGAAGTGTCGAAGTGGGACAAACTTTCTGTCCCAGTTCGAGAAGCAATAAAATGTAGTTTAGACAATGGTGAAGGAAACAAACGTCACAAATACGCTTGTGCAAACCATATTAAGTGAATCAAAATCTAGCTACCCATATAACAGCATAATCCTAAGTTGTCAGCAACTGAAGCTGTCTGATCCATCCCGCAAACTTCACGTGTATTTTAAAACAATCCCGCAGTCATAATCCACCAACGTTGCTAACCTTCACATTGTTATACGAGCAACATTTAACAACATTTATATAGGAAAACAACAATCTTACAATTCTTAGAGATGTACAATGACATCCACAAAATGACTTTTGAATTATTGCGCTTCCTGCTGTGTTTTCAGCATCTTAAGATATGCTTTCTTGTTTTTGACACGATTCTTGCGTACTGCTAGTGATGCCTTCTTTGCTGTCCAACGTTTCTTCGTTATCTGGAAATAACAAGACTAGCACAGCGTACAAAGAAATGCAGCCAGTACCACGGAGCATCTCGGAAAAGACGTCGTAATTTTTCCAAATATACTATAAATGTCTCTAAAGCTTATTTAAAAAGATGAACGAAGGAGAAAGAAAAAACCTCTTTTGGTTTCTTAGATTCCCGTGCAGGATTGGCACGGATGGCTTCATGCGCCTTTTTATACATATCCACAATCTGCAAATACACAATCTTCTGGATATTATCAAAAATAAAGCCAAAAATTGAGGCTAATTATAAGAATATCATGTTTTCAGCAAAAAAAAACTTTGCGACAGCTTACGTCATCAGCACCGATGTTAGCAGCAATGAAACGCGAAAAATGTCGCTTATACGCATCTTCATCTTGTTCTTTCAATAGTGCCATATAATCGGCAACGTGTTTGCCAAGTATTCTATCTCGATGCGCTTCAGCATTATATTTGGTTTCCGAATTATAACCAAAGAAACGCGTCTCAACTAAAAAAAAAAATAGTACTGGAAGGATAGAACTGAAACTTTAATTGTAATTTAATCTACACCAGCGATTCTCAAACGGCAGAACGAATGGAAGAACTGTTACAAGACGTAAAATCTGTAAATATATCTTGAAAAGTAAAGTAAAAAAATGATATACATACCTGTGTGGAACATCGATACCACCATCAGCAACACCCTTCATGACAGCAAAAACCTTAGCGCCTGTAACAGTGCGTGCTAAGCCAACATCAAGGACCGCCCGGAAAGGTGCCCGTTCACCCTCCTTTTCAACATTGTAATCGTCACCAGTCGCTTCTTCCACACCTTTGTATGTTTCCGCCAAACCGATTTTGAGCAAATGACGTCGGGCCAACAATAAACCGGTAGCATATGCTGATGCATAATTAGTTAAGCCTACCTACAAATGACAAATTCGTCGATTTCTGTCCCATTCATACCGACCAAACAGTCCAAAAATCACAATTGATCCTTCCCACTACAGTTGTACTTTCCCACCCCTTTGACCACCTGAATAATCACGTCAGCATAACTTTTTTCCATATACTACACCATAAGTACCATATAATGCTACTGCATTTTCGAAAAAGCATGCATTTGTGCATGCCAACACATGGCAATTTAAATCAACAAGTGCACCCATATCATCTCGTTGAAAATTTTATAAATGAGTGTCCGAATGCAAAACGAAGCAAATAAAACCTTAATCCCATAACGCGGCAACTCATGCGAGTAGGCAGAACATACAACCACATCGCCCTCAATTCGAGAATATGCTATCTGAAATTTAAACTGATGCCGTTGATTACAAATACTAAACTGAACTGATTTAACTCTAAGTGGTCACTACGGAGGATTATTACTTTGCAAATATTCTCCTTCAACAAATAATAAAGACCGGCAAAAACAAGGGTTGAAAAGTTTATTCGGCCATTCACTAGACTTATCAGGACATCAACATGAACTAGAATAGCGTTCTACAGCACTTTACACTCAATATTATTTGCATATTATTAACTACCACTAAAGAAATGGGAAAAAAAGGTGAGTAGTGAACTCCCACTTCATCCTTTTGCTCTCATCCTTATGAACTATTTCAATACAACCAAATCAACTTAGAATAAGGCAATTCGATTAACCTGAGCAATAACATCTCTGTTCGTGAATCGTACGATAAGGCGATACTTTGGAGTGTTGTATTTATTCTTATCTTGCACAGTTAAACGTTTCCTTGCATAATAATCCGTCTTACCCTCACGTCTACGCTTCAATTTCACCTGATAACGCTTGAAATATGCCTTGTTTTTGACTACCTTTACGAAACCCATCCTACACTCTGAAAAAGAAAATTTGCAACAAGCTGTCCTGCGTGTTACGTGCACTCTGCATATCAATGCAGTACTAAACGGCGCAAACAGGACACTCCGTGCACAAGGTGGATTATACGTACGAGTTCAAGACAGAGTTTCAAATATCTGACTCTGTGTGGAACATACACCTTTTATATTGATCCGTTTAAACATAAGACAAATTACATGATGCGAGAACCACGCACAACCCCAAAACAGAAAAACCCACACTCCCACAATCATTTCTTCGATAGGTCACAGGGATCCATCAGACCGCTCTTTAGGCTTTTGCACAACGTGGGCGGTATGAAAATATTACGGATCACGACTAAATTCATCTCCAGCGTGGTCCGGCGTATTACCGTTCCACGCAACCCTAATTCAGGATATGATGCGAGAGAAGGAACTTCAGAAGGGAATGCAAAGTATGTGTGAGGTAGATTTAAAGTTTTCTAATCATTCTTCCACTGCTGCTTGGTGTTGGCTTGAAAAAATATTTGAAAAGCATATTCTATCCCATCCTAACACTCCACTCCTTCGCTTAAAGGTTTGAGAGCAGAGAGACAAGAGCAAGAGACGGGAAAAGGTCAGCTCGTCCATTAGGACTCTCTGAAATTGTCGCCTTTCTTTGATTGAGGTCGAGGATTCAAGAACATCCGCGTAGATGAGAAAGAAGAGTATCCATCATGTCAACAACATCCGTGTATGTCACGATGAGACAGGATATCATATGAAATTTGTTACAACTGCAAGCATATCTTAAGATCTGAAAAGGGCTTTTGACTGAATTTGTATTTATTTTCTGTTTTTCGGAAAAATTTACAATCATTTGAACCTGTGTATCTGAGTGGTCGGTCTGTCACATCGCCAGTCTTCAAATTATCGTCATTATTTATCCTTGCTGTTACGGATTTATTTCCATTCTTATGAATTTTTACCTCCCACAATTTAATCTTTCAAAATTTTTTTTCGAAGGATAATTGTCTCAGTTTAGTTGCAGAATCACTTGACTAAAATTTAACAGTGCTACCGAAATGACCGGTACATCACAAGGGACATATTCGCAGTCGATGTGTCGTAATAATAATTTTAGCGGTCACTGTAATCATCACCGTTAGTTCTTTGTCTCTTCCGCTTTGACTTCTGGGTATGAGGGGTTAACAGGAGTTCGAATACTTGATTCCATCAAAACTCTGATTTTGGATCGCTCGGCAGATGACTTTGCGAATATCTTGGTTCTTAATAAGAGGAAGTCCAAATGTCTTACTCTGAAAAATTTTCATTTCTGTTTTCGCAGGGAGGGGAGAGTGGAAATACTTGTTCGAATGTGTTAATTTCTGATTACGGATTTTACATTACATTGTACTTTGCAAAAAGTTTAAGATATCGTTTACTTTTCAGGTGCGGAATACTCGCAGTGTAATAGTGGGCCTAGACGATCGGCACTTAATGGTATTGGTGGTAGTTCGTTCGGTACGAATCGTAGACAATTCGCTCAGCGTAATCATTCCTGGTTAAGTAAGTTATTTGAACTTAGGTCATCAAAACGAAGGACAAAAATAGCAAGTGTCAGGATGTCGGACTTGTTTTTGTTGTGGTTAGTCAATGGTCAGGAACTTTAAGGGGTTAGCTTGTAGTAGAGTTATTTGGCTTTGGTTATATTGTGTTATAGTTGCACCAGATATTGTTGCGGAGTGAAGGATTTGAAAGGTTTCGCTGTGAGTTATAGGTACACAAGAAATTTTAACGAAAGCTTACCTTATTACGGTGAAGCTCGTAAGCGCGTCAGTTATGCCACGAAAATGATCCAGCAGAAAGGATTAGTAACTTCTACTAATATATATAAAAGT